TATCGCTTCGCAAAGTAAGATATATTCACTACTTGAAATCTTTGAAAATTTTACATGAACATTTCATTCATAAATTGGCTTGTTATAGTTAAGGAAAGTTTTACAAATAGATGCCAACTTGTTGAAGGCCAAGTAAAATGAAAATTTCAAACACTTTTCTGCACTATATAAGACGATAAACAAAACTATTTTTGATATGAAAATCAAAATAATCCTTATAAACTGTCCCCTGTTCTGTCATTGCTGAAATAAAAATAATTGTTTGTGCGGAAAATAAGGATCTACGTACATCAAACTGTCTTTAAATTAAGTGGCAGCAGAAGAATTATCGTTGAACTTTTACAAGGTAAGCTTAAACATTAATTCAACACTTAAATACAGCGATCAATTTTGAGTTCTGTAGTTTATTGATGACTATCGCATCTACTCCTCCCTAGCTATTGTGACGATAGCAAAATCAAGAGTCCTCTACAGGAGCTAGCTTAAATGCTGCCCGATAGGGCGGCTTTTAAAGCTAGTTTATAATAAAACGTGCACCGCAATTTTGAATACAAAAGGAAAATAAGAGTTACTCCCATTGAACCATGAAATCAACGATAATGTCTAGTATAATATATTAATATATATATTTAACCTCGCATAATCTGGCAGCCCTGAATCTGAATCTGCTTTAGTTCCACGTACTGACATCCATTAAACATGGCACGTAGAACTAGAACAGTCTAAACAGAGCTAAATAAAGGGTTCAGTTCGACATTCCAACCACCTGAAGAAGGCCGGAGCGTACAACGGCTGAAACGTTGTAATAAATATAGCGACAAAGATGAGGACAATAGTCAGAATAATGTAAATAGTGTATATGTATATTTATCACAGTTTTTCCCACAGAAATTATGGCATATACGGAAAAAGTAAGCAGTATGTGAAGGGATGAATCGAAATTTCTTTCTTGTAATGTTTCTGGGATGGGCACGACCTTCCCGGGTAATATCTATTATGCTCTTATTTGGTAAGCATGGTATCCACGTGCTCGCTGGGCCATCGTTATCCCATCAGTCACTATCGGGAGACGATCAGGTACGGTGGTATTCTTACTAACAGGCTTCTGGCATTTTCGCATACACACATCATCTTAATTATTAACAGAACAAGATAGATGTGATAACTAGGAACGCGTCACTCATCGACCTTAAGAAATATATCCAATTAATTATCTTTTATAAAACAATTACACCATTCTATTATATCATCATTAATAAACACAGTACTAAAATAAACACAGTACTAAAATAAAAAGAAAGCTATACAAAACCAACGAAATATAAAAGATTTTTATGCCCCATCGGGGATTGCAACACCAAACAAAAATCTATTTATATTGATTATACTACTACAACGTTCTCTCGTTGAATAACTTGCCATCAATGAACAATAAAATCTTAATAAACATAATACTACTATCAATAAATGATTCATAAATGTCGATAATACTCTCATCTTATACAATATTAATTGCAAATGGAAACTCTTATTTCTTGAAGCATTTATAATTAAAAAGAAAACTACAGTAAATATCGTTTAGTCTAGGAAACAGGGTTTTGAATATTTTAATAACACTGGTCGACAAGATTTTTGGTGTCAAGAAACAAAACACATTTTTTAGGTAATTTGATGACGCTGATTCCGAAAATGGCCTTAGTATTTCATGGTTAGCTACCGTTTTTGCTGTACTGAAATTGCTCATTTTTGGAAAAAAAAAAAGATCAATTTACGATCTTGGCTGATCGCAAAATTTAGTTAATAAAGATCGTAGAAACCTATTAATTTTCAGGTAGGCCGAGCAATTTATATCAGCTACCTGAAATAAACTATTTTTATAAGAAAAAGTGTTTTTGAGTCAAAAATTTTAAAATGAAAGTACCGAATTTTTCCAATTTATCGCCAAAATTCAAATTAACTGATAAACTTTATCAGTAATACACTGATAATTAAGGTGAAATAAAAAAAAATGAAACCCTAAAATTTTTCTTGAGATTCATAGCCATGTGATTACTAGTACATATCACGGTTGTCTTGTGGAATCTCCTTTACATTAATTAAACTGCTGTTAGCAGGATAGATGGTACATTTGTGTGTTAAATCTAATATTTTTGTAAGTTCTATTCTATGTTAGACCCTTCCAAAATAAATAGTATTAGTAACCATTATAAAATAATTACGATAAAGATACGAAGTAGAATTAGTACAACGAGTCTATGCGTCTTTTGTTATTGAAAATATTACGAGACTCTCAGTAGGACATTAGGAAAGATGAAATTACCTAATTGTGAACACGCAAAGTATAATGTAAATGCTCAACCGATTTGTGTTCTTTTTTTATCATAGAGATAGATATCGAATGACATGGCTTGAATGAGTGGGATGCAAAAATGATCCCAATTTATTTTGTTATACATGCAGCGGTTTCACACCGGAAGCCAACAGGAAAACGATATCTCAAGAAAGCATATCATGCTTTACTTTTACGTCGAGTTTGGTGACCAAGACAAATGGACTTCTCACGTGGTTTGCAAGATATATTTGGAATAAATGAGACAGTAGACTTCAGGTACCCGAAAATCGCTGAGATTCGCTATTCCTATGATCTGGCGTGGGCCAAAGAACCACTGTGATGAATGGTACTTCTGCTCAGTCACTGTTGCTAGAGCCGTTTAACCAAAATGATCTGATGACTTGGTTCGAGTCTTAACTCTAAGCAAAGAATCGTCAGAACTTTTGGCCTCTAGGCTCAACGAAAAACACCTGTTAGAAAAAGACACAAAGGTAACATTCTATCGAAATAGGAATGCCGAATTTGTATCATTCTATAATGAAAACGCGGATTTTGGTTCATTGCAATGATGTTGATAGCGTTCTTCTTCAACTAGACATCCACAAATACAATCCTGATGTTGATAGCGTTCTTCTTCAACTAGGCATCTACAAATATTATTCTGATGAATAGAGATTGTTCATTGATAGTTGAAAACGTAGTTTGAATTGTGTTTTGCTCCATAATACCAATATGTACCAATACCTATAAGTCATTCAACAACACTGAAAGAAAAAAACATGATGCCATCAAACAGGTTATGGAACAGATTGACTACATCAAACATTCATGGGTGTGATGCGTTTTGTGACGTCAACGAACACTCGTTGTCCCTTTCGTAAGGCTCGTTGTAGTAGAGACTTTGTAATCGCAGATACAACTATAGTACCTCATTGAACAATGCTGGTGTCAGTCGCCTTCGAACATCACTCGCACTAATAGTACTTGCTCGATAACACTCGCTCCAATAGTAACACGTATAGTGATCTGAATAGAGAAATAGTATAGTGAATAGAGTAGAGAATAGTGGTCCGTAAAGTAATAGAGGATAGACTAGAAATAGAGATTCGTATAGTAATAGAGGATAGACTAGAAATGAGATCAATTGAACGTCACGCCACTTCGAATATCACTCGCACCAATAGTACTTGCTTGATAATACTCGCTCGCCAAGTAACCCGTATAGTAATTTGAATAGAGAAATAATATAGAAAATAGCGGTCCGTATAGTAATATAGGATAAAATAGAAATAACGATCCGAATAGTATAGAGGATAGACGAGAAATAGCGAATACGTCACGATACTTTCTGCGTTTACTCTATGGTCACGTGGTCTACTTAATTCAATAATAGGATCGCCTGTGTTTGCTCACTGGCGATCTATGTTCAAGCTCAAGTGTCGATAGCGACACTTTATTCCTATATAACAATGTGCCGATTTGAAAATGGTAAATTTCATGTTTGGTCAACAAAGTGGCTACGCATAATTCCCATATTTATTTTTTGTGTGTGTGTGTATCAAAGGAGCGCTTGAAAAGGAAAGATTGGTCACCCCAAGAGTTGAAGGTCGGTGAAAAGAACGTTATTAGTGCGACGCTAGTTCCGAAAGAAAAAAAATCATGTTCCCTTCACTGCATATCAAACCGGGATTAATGAAACAGTATGTAAAATCACTCGACAAAAAAAGTAAATGTTTTGAGTATATATGTAAATCGTTTCCAGAACTTAGCAGTAAAAAAACTCAAAAAAGGAGTGTTTGATGCTCCTGATATCAGGAAACTCATTAAGGATGAAGAATTTGTTAATTCTTTGAATGACTTGGTATTATGCTCTTGGACATCGTTTGTTGACGTGGTGAAAAACTTCTTATGCAATCGCCGGGCCGAAAACTACAAGGAGTTAGTGGAAAAGCTGTTCAAAAGTCTACAGGATATGGGCGCTAATATGAGTATTAAGGTTCATTTTTTACATAGCCATCTAGATTAATTTCCGGATAATTACGGCGGTGTGAGTGATGAGCAAAGAAAACGATTCCATCAGGATATTAAAACAATGGAATAGCGCTACCAGGGATGGTGGGGCAAACGAATGATGGCTGACTACTGCTGCAGTATCAAAGCGGACTTAAATAACATTGAACATGACAGACAATCAAGAAAGAGAAAAGTTTTTACCATAGTTCTTATATTCCCGAAGGTTTTATTTCTGCTGTTAGTTCATTAAATGATTTGATGAAAATACTTCTTGGTTTTGGTATATTCAATCGTGTTATTTTTAAAGACTTCGGGTCTGATTGTTATTTCAAAAATAGTATTTCTTAATAAACAGACCAATATTTGTTGGTTTAAATACGAACTGAAAGATTTCTACGATTTTATTTTGAGGAATATTAACATCGGTCAATATCTATATATGGAAAACAAATGCTTTTTTTTTCTCACAAAAATGAGTCATCGTTGTACAACAAAAACGGTAGCTAACCAAGAAAAACTATTTCAGATTCAGTACCCTCAAATTGACTAAAAATTGGTATCTCGACACCATTTCAATTTTTTTTTTTTTTTGTTGACCAGTGTAATTTAAAAAAACTCTAACAAGAATTATTTTCAGAATTCATGTTATAAGGATATCTCAAGGGGTCACCCATTTAGGTACTGACCAAGTACGACGTTGCTTAACTTCGGTGATCGTATGAGATACGGTGTTTCATCGTGACATGGCCGTAAGCCTGCTTAATTTAAGAAGTAGGAGGAAATTTTCTAAAGATTTAATAGAAGGCGTGGTTGGAATAAGAATGTCTTGAGTGGATTTTTATCCAAAAAATCGTCCTTGTTCGTCTCTCTGCTTATTGCGTTTTCTTCATAGCTCCGTTCGTAAATCAATGCAACAGTCAGTCTGTATCTATCGACAGTGTAACTCGGATATAAGAGAAACCCGGATATAAGAGAAATTTTTTCTGGTCCCAAATTAGAGCCCATACTTACCTAAACAAAATAGACCAAACCCGGATATAAGAGAAACCCGGATATAAGAGATTTCTTCTCCGGTCCCGACAATTCTCTTATATCCGGGTTACACTGTATTTATCTATCTTATATGAAAAAAAAAACATTAACCTGAATACTCGATTCATGTTAAATAACATTACTCTGATGGAGATTTTCGTACGGATGATATTGCATGGCGCCAAACCCTTTTAGAAATATCTAAACTGTCAGTTGTAACCAAAATCTTTCTAAGGTCAATGGTTAAAAATGGTATTAAGCGAGTGATACCTGTAGATTTGGCTGAAGACCATTCCTTTTCGAATATTAATATATGGCGCTACACGGTTACAAACAAAGAACTGAACCAGGTAACAGAAATCACATCATTTGAGGACTTTTAACAGCAGCAGCAACTAAAATAGATGTTACTCGGAACTCAAAGAGAAAAATAATAACATAGTCAAAATGCTGATGTTCCACATTAGTTCAAAGGGTTAGAAATGAAACCTTCACCAACACTGGAAGGAGCGATAACAGCGACAGGTCTTGAGAAACCTATTTTCCTGAAAAATTGTTTTAAGAGAAAGATTTTATAAATTTCAATTGAAAGCAATACTGGGTGGTCTGTCATCCAATGCCGGATATTTCCTTATTAGGAAACAGCTAATATTACCATTATCTATCTATCTATCTATCTATCTATCTATCTATCTATCTATCTATCTTTCATTCCGTTCATATCTATCTATCTATGTATCTATCTATGTATCTATCTATCTATCTATATTTCATTCCGTTCATATCTATCTATCTATCTATCTATCTATCTATCTATCTATCTATCTATCTATCTATCTATCTCACAGTTACATCTAGCCATTTCATTTTACAGCTGAAATGGCTAGATGCAATCGTAAATTCTATGCTATCAGTTTCTTCTGTCGCACTTCTCACTTGTGGAACTTAACTTTGTTATTCAAAAATGTAAATACAATGTCAATCGTTATCTTTTGTTTTCTTAATTCTTCTTCTTTTCTTCTTCTCTATCTATCTGACTGAGGAACTTAAACGTGGTGCAATGGTTAGCAAGCCTGTCTCGCCTGAACAATTACGACTGATTAGTAAGTGTGATCCACACTAGGTGCCCCATATTTTCAGTCTCGTGACATATCTAAGCTACGCATAGAAAATCCCCATATCTATCTATCTATCTATCTACAACTGACAATCTCTGCACACACACACACACACACGCACGCACGCACGCACGCACGCACAAACATATATATTACATATGGATTATATTTTATATGCGTGGAAAGCGGTCAATATCAGTGATAGTACTAACATAATAAGTTGTATGAATATGGGTTTTTGTGGCCCTGGGTTTCACGCTTTTGCGATCATCAGACAAACCTTTTCAGGCAAACGATCATCAGACATCACGCTTTTGCGATCATTGGACAAAGTTTGTCTGATGATCATAAAAGCGTGATGTCTCATATCCATACAACTTATATATATATATATATATATATATATATATATATATATATATATATATATATATGTGTGTGAATAAAAAGAAAGAACAGTAAGATATATAATCCGGTGTTCTTATGGATATTTTTATTTTTACAAAATAGTGCTCAATGTAAATTTACAGAGCATTAATATTATAAATTAATTGATATATATATATATATATATATATATATATATATATATACCTTTGGAAAGGTATGAATCCTCTTCTTCTCCCTCCAGCTATGGATATATAGCAGGACAGACTGGGTTCTATAGCCTTGGATGGCAACTGGTTTAGGAGAAGGACAACTCTGAATTCAAAACCTGCAGAGGGTCGTTTGAGGAACTTGTGGCATGTAGTGCACCATGTCTCTGTATTCAGCCCTTCAAGAAGTGTGTTTGGTTCTGCACAAAGCCTTCAGCACTATAATCAAATCATATGTCCTGGTGTCTGGGCTGCCAGTTCCTAAGAACTGAGCTGCTTGACCTTCATACGTCGAATACGTCAGGAGAGCCCATTTATATATATATATATATATATATATATATATATATATATATATATATATATATATATATATATATATATATTTCTCTTTACTTCCCTCTCGCTCTTCTTTCTTTTTCCGTTGTTAACTGTCTAAATAGGTCAAGGTCTGGTCCTCCTCCTTCTCCCTATACTCTATCATGTCTCTTTAACTACACCTTTTACACTCTCTATTAAATTACAAAAACTTGGAAGTGCTATCTGATGATCCGACGTCCTTTAAAATGGCTCTGGTGAAATAAATTATTATAATGGTACCTAAAGTGGTCTGCTTTTCTTTTATATATATATATATATATATATATATATATATATATATATATATATATATATACTGTCTCCGGGATGCGTGTATTTCGTTGAAATGTACACAACCCTTAGACAGTTAGCATAAACTCATCGACCATCAAGACTCTGAGACATAGTATGTTTTAGACACAGGTTTATTGACAGTCGACAAAGGTAAAACTGAAAGAAAATAAAACACGTTTCTTCAGAAACACGGAGATACAAAATGAAGGTGAGTATTTACTAAGACCTTAAAAGTAGTTGTAGGTATGATAAGCTTGCAGAATAGAAGCATTTGAACATAAAAAATACTCATAGAAAGAAAAAGAATACAAATTATGCTGAGTAACAGTCAAGTTCAGAGAGGAAAGGTGGAGGTTCCGCACGTGGTGAGAAGGTAAACAAAGTTCGTTTGAGGAAGGAAATGATACTAAAAAATAATGCTTACATTAAATAATTCCATAATAGGAAGAAAGAAAGGCGATAGTTCTTACCGGAGATGTCCAAGAATGACGAGATATTTAAAGGATGAAAACTAAGCCATGCGGCTGCTGGGGGGCATGCCATGCGGCCAAGCTGGGGGCATGCCATGCAACCAAGCTGGGGGCAGCTAAACTGGATAGAGGCTGAGCACCAGGAACCTTCAACCGGTGTAGGGTCAGAAAGAAGCCCCCCAAGCAAAAAGGGTCGGTAAAGGGAGATGAGTGCTAGTAGGTCTGTTGTACACAGAACAGAACACTCCCCGCCTGACGTCTTGCACGTCAAGAAATGTGCTAGTTCTCGGCGCAGAGAAGGACAATCTCGGTAACGGGTCTGAGGAGGTGTTTAGTGCCGTCCTTTCTGGAAATCCTGACCTCTACTTTCCTTACTAGGGAACACGCGCGTGATCAATCCTAGGGGCCATTCATTTCTAGCAGCCTTGTCGTTCTTGAGCAACACCACATTTCCGGGTTCCAGGTTGGGTTCATCTGATCTCCACTTGGTGTGTGTCTGGATAGGAGATAGGTATTCTCTTCTCCACCTGCTTCAGAATCTCTCAGCCAGATGTAGGACGAATTTCCATTGATTAGGGTTAGAGGATCTTCGTATATGCAACACGCGATTACTTACATACACGTAAAAGCGTCTGGTTTCGGTGTGGATGTAGCCTAGAACTGCCTTACTGTCCGTGTAGAAGGTAGTGGATTGAAGCTGCAGGTCTATCTCGGAGTAGATCAGTTCGCTCAGTTCGGTTGCCGGGAGGGGGCACAGAGCTCCAGTCTGGGAACTGAATGTTCGGGTCGTGGGGCAAGTTTCGCTTTCCCCATGACGAAGCCAATTTGGTCGTTTCCTTTATTGTCGGTGACCTTGAGATAGGCCACTGCAGCGATGGCTTTGGCCGATGCATCGGAAAAGATGTGCAGCTCTTTACGTACTGCTTTTGAGAATGGTATGTTTGTGAAGGCCCTAGGGATTCGGACCTCGTTTAGCGCCTCCAAGGACTCTCTCCATGAAGACCAGATTTTGTGCATTTCTTGACGAAGAGGTGAGTCCCATTCGCTGTTTTCATGGGTTAGCTCTCTCAAGATTAACTTTCCTTGAATGGTGACGGGGGCAGCAAATCCCAAGAGGTCATACAGACTGTTGAGGGTCGATAAAACGCCCCTACGTGTAAAGGGTCTTTGTATCACAGGTACCTTGAACGTAAAGGTGTCGGTCTTAAGGTGCCACTCCAGGCCAAGACTGCGCTGTATGGGTAGGTCATCCTTGCTCAAATCCAGATCCATTAGGTTGTTCGCATGGTCCTGGGGTGGGATTGCAGTCATAACTCCTTCTTTGTTGGAGGCTATTTTGTGTAGCCTTAAGTTGGATCCGGCAAGGATGTCTCGTGTTCTTTGGAGCAAGGAGACTGTAGCTTCGACAGTAGGGAGCGATTTTAGACAGTCAAGGATATAGAAATTCCGGTTGACTAACTCCTCGACTGCCGGATCATAGTTAGGCTGGCCCTTTCTGACTGCTTGTCTGGGGCAATAGATAGCCACGGCTGGGGATGGACTATTGCCGAAAACGTGAACTTTCATCCGGTATTCAGCAATTCCTTTGGTTGGGTCGTTGTCGCGATACCAGAGTATTCTCAGGAAGTTTCTGTGTTCTTTCACTAAGAAACAGTGGAACATCTGTTCGATGTCTGCGGTGACGGCGACGATTTCTTTACGAAAACGGGTGAGGACCCCGACCCGGGTGTTGTTAAGGTCAGGTTCGCTTATCAAGACGTCGTTCAAGGACACTCCATCGTGTTTGGCGCTGGAGTCAAAGACTACTCGAATTTTTCCGGGTTTTTTAGGATGGTACACACCAAAGATGGGCAAATACCAGCATTCTTCTTCCTTTCTGAGGGGAGGGGCCGCTTCAGCATGACCATTCTCAAATAGCCCTTCCATGAATGAAAGGAAGTGTCTCTGCATCTCTGGTTTCTTATCGAGGCTACGTCTCAGTGAAGAAGGTCGTCTCTCTGCCAGTTTCCTGTTATAAGGAGACGACGTCAGGGGAGATCTAAAGGGTAGAGAGGAGCGACCCAACTGTTGTCTTTGTCTTTCTCAGCTCCCAGTTCCATGATGTTCAGGAAGGCAATATCTTCAATAGAAGGCGCCGCCCTTTCGTCGTCCCTGGTCCGTTGAAATAGGTGGTCTTCCATCTCAGTAGAGTATGGTCTCTTGCTGATGCCGAAGCTCTCTTTAATTTCGAATTTGTTCGGGCACGAATCGAAAAGGGTGGGGCGTCCCCCATCAGATATATGTGTATGCAATGTGTTTATTATGGTGGGTGGGTGAAATTTCCCTAAGTAGACATTGCCGACTATGACCCATCCTAGGTCCAGTTTCTGTGCATATGGGGCATCATGGGGCTGTTTATTTGTTGGCGCACTTTGTGTACCCTTAGAATGTCGCGCCCCAGAAGGAGCATTATAGGGAGTTTTAGGCTCCACGGTGGGGATGAGGTGAGCTATTTTTCTCAGATGTGGGTGGTGGAGGGCTGCCTCAGGAGTTGGGATGCCGGACCTGTCGTTGGGTATTTTGTCGCATTCGACGGGACTTGGAAGTGGAAGGCTGTTTTTCCGTCTAAGTTCCACCTGGAAGCCTGACGCTCTTCTTCCCATGGTTTGTATAACTCCGGCACAAGTTTTAAGGGAATAAGGGAAACTGGGCCCATCATTTTTAAAGGTATCAAAAAAGTCTGAGCGTACCAAAGACCGGTTGCTTTGTTCATCGATGATGGCGTACATCCTAACTGTTTTGTCTGGTTGGTCTGCAGGGTAAACATTGACGAGACATATCTTGGAGCACGACTTTTCTGAGAGGTCACCACCGCAAACTTGTGTGCACTGCGAAACAACTCCAGTAGCTATAGGGGGGTTATCCTCCACGCCGTTTTCTGCAGCGGATCTTATGCTGATGGGCCAAGGTGGTGGTCCTGGATGGAGAGCAGTGTTGTGTTCTTCACTGTTACACTCATTGCATGTAATATTCATTCTGCAGAATTTCGCTATGTGTGCTGTGGAGGAGCAACATTTGAAACAGATGCCATTGTTTCTTATAAAAGTCTCACGCTCTTTCAAGGGTTTCTCTCGAAAGGCGCGGCATTTCAACAGTGAGTGGAATTTTTTGTGTAATGGGCAATATTGGGTGGGGTCGTTGTCATCTTTGTTTTGCCGACGCGTGGTGTTGAAAACTGTGGGGGACACTTCGGTCTTATTCACCGATACCACCCTTTATTTGCTCTCTTGTGAGGGGAACCTACCCACCAGTGGACTGACTTTGAAACTTGGATCATTTTTGATCCTAGCTTGTTGTGTAATAAAGTTTACAAATACCTTAAAAGGAGGGAACGTAACTTGGTGCCGCTCCTTATATTCGGAACCAACAGACAGCCATCTGTCCTGAAGTGAGGATGGTAGTTTGGTTATAAAGGGGCGGAGCCCTCGAGCAGTGTCCAGGTAGGCGAGGCCAGGAAGGTTTCCATCTTCCCTAGCTGACAAGAGTTCGGTAGCTAAATCGCTGAGTTCCCTAAGTCTAGGAAGATCGTTGTTTGACAGTCTGGAGAAGTCATCTACTCGTTTGAAGAGAGCATCCTCTATCATTTCGGGAGCCCCGTAACACTCCTCGAGTCGGGCCCATATTCTCATGAGCCCTCTTTCTGGGTGGTTCAGGTGGGCTGACCTTAGCCTCCTTGCATGTTCCCCTGACTCTTTACCAAGCCATTTTACGAGGAGGTCCATTTCCTCGCTGTATGTGAGACCGAGGTGTCTGGTGGCACTCTGGAAAGACCGCTTCCATGCTCTGTAGTCCTCAGGTCTATCGTTAAAAGGTGGCAGTCCAGTGGTGATGAGTTCCCGCCGGGTGAAGTACCTCACAAGGTCTGAGGTATATTGAGACTGGGAGGCGTCCCTGGTGTTGGTGGGGTACCGGTCGTTAGGAGGTTCGGTGTCTTCGACACGTGAGTTAGGGGAGTGATAGCTGATAATAGGTGGTTTTTTTTGGGTAGGTCTGTCTGGGCTCCCTGGCCTATGAGGGAGAAGTCGGTCTCCGCGTTCGAACCGACCATACTGGTATCCCTGAACGATTTCTTCGTTAACAGGTGGTTGGGGTCCAGTCATCTCTTGTTTCGCTTGACTTGCTTGGTCGGCTAAGTATTCTCTGACCCGTGTGTTAGGGTCAGTGGGAGTGCAGTCGAGTTTTGAGTGGTTGCAGCTGGACCGTTCTTTTAGCTCGTCGGCAGCTTCCCTCAGAACTTCTGCTTCAGCTACGGCAGCAGCCGTCTCCTTTTCAAGCTGTAGTTTCTCCAACTCCATCCTTATTTTTAGCTCCTTGTCGATGAAGGCTAAACGTGTTTTGGCTGCTTCGGCCCTAGCTTGGGCGATAGCAGCAGCAGCCGCCGTAGACGATCAGACCGAGAGTAGCGGGAGGCATGAGTCCTTGACCGATTTGACACGTTGTCTGCCATCGTTGAGAAAAAAGGATGATTGGTGGTAGAAGAGAGGCCGAAAGAATAGCTTCGTTATATTGAGGATAGTTTTTTTCAAGCGAACTGTGTGACACTACTGTTGTTGGTGTTGCGTCCGTAGTTCCGACGGTTGGTGTAGACCACGAAATATCCGACCATTAGGGGGGCCTCCGTTTTACTGTACTGTCTCCGGGATGCGTGTATTTCGTTGAAATGTACACAACCCTTAGACAGTTAGCATAAACTCTCATCGACAATCAAGACTCTGAGACATAGTATGTTTTAGACACAGGTTTATTGACAGTCGACAAAGGTAAAACTGAAAGAAAATAAAAACACGTTTCTTCAGAAACACGGAGATACAAAATGAAGGTGAGTATTTACTAAGACCTTAAAAGTAGTTGTAGGTATGATAAGCTTGCAGAATAGAAGCATTTGAACATAAAAAATACTCATAGAAAGAAAAAGAATACAAAATATGCTGAGTAACAGTCATGTTCCGAGAGGAAAGGTGGAGGTTCCGCACGTGGTGAGAAGGTAAACAAAGTTCGTTTGAGGAAGGAAATGATACTAAAAAATAATGCTTACATTAAATAATTCCATAATAGGAAGAAAGAAAGGCGATAGTTCTTACCGGAGATGTCCAAGAATGACGAGATATTTAAAGGATGAAAACTAAGCCATGCGGCCAAGCTGGGGGCATGCCATGCGGCCAAGCTGGGGGCATGCCATGCGGCCAAGCTGGGGGCAGCTAAACTGGATAGAGGCTGAGCACCAGGAACCTTCAACCGGTGTAGGGTCAGAAAGAAGCCCCCAAGCAAAAAGGGTCGGTAAAGGGAGATGAGTGCTAGTAGGTCTGTTGTACACAGAACAGAACACTCCCCGCCTGACGTCTTGCACGTCAAGAAATGTGCTAGTTCTCGGCGCAGAGAAGGACAATCTCGGTAACGGGTCTGAGGAGGTGTTTAGTGCCGTCCTTTCTGGAAATCCTGACCTCTACTTTCCTTACTAGGGAACACGCGCGTGATCAATCCTAGGGGCCATTCATTTCTAGCAGCCTTGTCGTTCTTGAGCAACACCACATTTCCGGGTTCCAGGTTGGGTTCATCTGATCTCCACTTGGTGTGTGTCTGGATAGGAGATAGGTATTCTCTTCTCCACCTGCTTCAGAATCTCTCAGCCAGATGTAGGACGAATTTCCATTGATTAGGGTTAGAGGATCTTCGTATATGCAACACGCGATTACTTACATACACGTAAAAGCGTCTGGTTTCGGTGTGGATGTAGCCTAGAACTGCCTTACTGTCCGTGTAGAAGGTAGTGGATTGAAGCTGCAGGTCTATCTCGGAGTAGATCAGTTCGCTCAGTTCGGTTGCCGGGAGGGGGGCACAGAGCTCCAGTCTGGGAACTGAATGTTCGGGTCGTGGGGCAAGTTTCGCTTTCCCCATGACGAAGCCAATTTGGTCGTTTCCTTTATTGTCGGTGACCTTGAGATAGGCCACTGCAGCGATGGCTTTGGCCGATGCATCGGAAAAGATGTGCAGCTCTTTACGTACTGCTTTTGAGAATGGTATGTTTGTGAAGGCCCTAGGGATTCGGACCTCGTTTAGCGCCTCCAAGGACTCTCTCCATGAAGACCAGATTTTGTGCATTTCTTGAGGAAGAGGTGAGTCCCATTCGCTGTTTTCATGGGTTAGCTCTCTCAAGATTAACTTTCCTTGAATGGTGACGGGGGCAGCAAATCCCAAGAGGTCATACAGACTGTTGAGGGTCGATAAAACGCCCCTACGTGTAAAGGGTCTTTGTATCACAGGTACCTTGAACGTAAAGGTGTCGGTCTTAAGGTGCCACTCAGGCCAAGACTGCGCTGTATGGGTAGGTCATCCTTGCTCAAATCCAGATCCATTAGGTTGTTCGCATGGTCCTGGGGTGGGATTGCAGTCATAACTCCTTCTTTGTTGGAGGCTATTTTGTGTAGCCTTAAGTTGGATCCGGCAAGGATGTCTCGTGTTCTTTGGAGCAAGGAGACTGTAGCTTCGACAGTAAGGGAGCGATTTTAGACAGTCAAGGATATAGAAATTCCGGTTGACTAACTCCTCGACTGCCGGATCATAGTTAGGCTGGCCCTTTCTGACTGCTTGTCTGGGGCAATAGATAGCCACGGCTGGGGATGGACTATTGCCGAAAACGTGAACTTTCATCCGGTATTCAGCAATTCCTTTGGTTGGGTCGTTGTCGCGATACCAGAGTATTCTCAGGAAGTTTCTGTGTTCTTTCACTAAGAAACAGTGGAACATCTGTTCGATGTCTGCGGTGACGGCGACGATTTCTTTACGAAAACGGGTGAGGACCCCGACCCGGGTGTTGTTAAGGTCAGGTTCGCTTATCAAGACGTCGTTCAAGGACACTCCATCGTGTTTGGCGCTGGAGTCAAAGACTACTCGAATTTTTCCGGGTTTTTTAGGATGGTACACACCAAAGATGGGCAAATACCAGCATTCTTCTTCCTTTCTGAGGGAAGGGGCCGCTTCAGCATGACCATTCTCAAATAGCCCTTCCATGAATGAAAGGAAGTGTCTCTGCATCTCTGGTTTCTTATCGAGGCTACGTCTCAGTGAAGAAGGTCGTCTCTCTGCCAGTTTCCTGTTATAAGGGAGACGACGTCGGGGAGATCTAAAGGGTAGAGGAGCGACCCAACTGTTGTCTTTGTCTTTCTCAGCTCCCAGTTCCATGATGTTCAGGAAGGCAATATCTTCAATAGAAGGCGCCGCCCTTTCGTCGTCCCTGGTCCGTTGAAATAGGTGGTCTTCCATCTCAGTAGAGTATGGTCTCTTGCTGATGCCGAAGCTCTCTTTAATTTCGAATTTGTTCGGGCACGAATCGAAAAGGGTGGGGCGTCCCCCATCAGATATATGTGTATGCAATGTGTTTATTATGGTGGGTGGGTGAAATTTCCCTAAGTAGACATTGCCGACTATGACCCATCCTAGGTCCAGTTTCTGTGCATATGGGGCATCATGGGGGCTGTTTATTTGTTGGCGCACTTTGTGTACCCTTAGAATGTCGCGCCCCAGAAGGAGCATTATAGGAGTTTTAGGCTCCACGGTGGGGATGAGGTGAGCTATTTTTCTCAGATGTGGGTGGTGGAGGGCTGCCTCAGGAGTTGGGATGCCGGACCTGTCGTTGGGTATTTTGTCGCATTCGACGGGACTTGGAAGTGGAAGGCTGTTTTTTCCGTCTAAGGATTCCACCTGGAAGCCTGACGCTCTTCTTCCCATGGTTTGTATAACTCCGGCACAAGTTTTAAGGGAATAAGGGAAACTGGGCCCATCATTTTTAAAGGTATCAAAAAAGTCTGAGCGTACCAAAGACCGGTTGCTTTGTTCATCGATGATGGCGTACATCCTAACTGTTTTGTCTGGTTGGTCTGCAGGGTAAACATTGACGAGACATATCTTGGAGCACGACTTTTCTGAGAGGTCACCACCGCAAACTTGTGTGCACTGCGAAACAACTCCAGTAGCTATAGGGGGTTATCCTCCACGCCGTTTTCTGCAGCGGATCTTATGCTGATGGGCCAAGGTGGTGGTCCTGGATGGAGAGCAGTGTTGTGTTCTTCACTGTTACACTCATTGCATGTAATATTCATTCTGCAGAATTTCGCTATGTGTGCTATGGAGGAGCAACATTTGAAACAGATGCCATTGTTTCTTATAAAGTCTCACGCTCTTTCAAGGGTTTCTCTCGAAAGGCGCGGCATTTCAACAGTGAGTGGAATTTTTTGTGTGTAATGGGCAATATTGGGTGGGGTCGTTGTCATCTTTGTTTTGCCGACGCGTGGTGTTGAAAACTGTGGGGACACTTCGGTCTTATTCACCGATACCACCCTTTATTTGCTCTCTTGTGAGGGGAACCTACCCACCAGTGGACTGACTTTGAAACTTGGATCATTTTTTGATCCTAGCTTGTTGTGTAATAAAGTTTACAAATACCTTAAAAGGAGGGAACGTAACTTGGTGCCGCTCCTTATATTCGGAACCAACAGACAGCCATCTGTCCTGAAGTGAGGATGGTAGTTTGGTTATAAAGGGGCGGAGCCCTCGAGCAGTGTCCAGGTAGGCGAGGCCAGGAAGGTTTCCATCTTCCCTAGCTGACAAGAGTTCGGTAGCTAAATCGCTGAGTTCCCTAAGTCTAGGAAGATCGTTGTTTGACAGTCTGGAGAAGTCATCTACTCGTTTGAAGAGAGCATCCTCTATCATTTCCAGAGCCCCGTAACACTCCTCGAGTCAGGCCCCATTCTCATGAGCCCTCTTTCTGGGTGGTTCAGGTGGGCTGACCTTAGCCTCCTTGCATGTTCCCCTGACTCTTTACCAAGCCATTTTACGAGGAGGTCCATTTCCTCGCTGTATGTGAGACCGAGGTGTCTGGTGGCACTCTGGAAAGACCGCTTCCATGCTCTGTAGTCCTCAGGTCTATCGTTAAAGGTGGCAGTCCAGTGGTGATGAGTTCCCGCCGGGTGAAGTACCTCCCAAGGTCTGAGGTATATTGAGACTGGGAGGCGTCCCTGGTGTTGGTGGGGTACCGGTCGTTAGGAGGTTCGGTGTCTTCGACACGTGAGTTAGGGAGTGATAGCTGATAATAGGTGGTTTTTGGGTAGGTCTGTCTGGGCTCCCTGGCCTATGAGGGAGAAGTCGGTCTCCGCGTTCAACCGACCATACTGGTATCCCTGAACGATTTCTTCGTTAACAGGTGGTTGGGGTCCAGTCATCTCTTGTTTCGCTTGACTTGCTTGGTCGGCTAAGTATTCTCTGACCCGTGTGTTAGGGTCAGTGGGAGTGCAGTCGAGTTTTGAGTGGTTGCAGCTGGACCGTTCTTTTAGCTCGTCGGCAGCTTCCCTCAGAACTTCTGCTTCAGCTACGGCAGCAGCCGTCTCCTTTTCAAGCTGTAGTTTCTCCAACTCCATCCTTATTTTTAGCTCCTTGTCGATGAAGGCTAAACGTGTTTTGGCTGCTTCGGCCCTAACTTGGGCGATAGCAGCAGCAGCCGCCGTAGACGATCAGACCGAGAGAAGCGGGAGGCATGAGTCCTTGACCGATTTGACACGTTGTCTGCCATCGTTGAGAAAAAGGATGATTGGTGGTAGAAGAGAGGCCGAAAGAATAGCTTCGTTATATTGAGGATAGTTTTTTTCAAGCGAACTGTGTGACACTACTGTTGTTGGTGTTGCGTCCGTAGTTCCGACGGTTGGTGTAGACCACGAAATATCCGACCATTAGGGGGGCCTCCGTTTTACTGTACTGTCTCCGGGATGCGTGTATTTCGTTGAAATGTACACAACCCTTAGACAGTTAGCATAAACTCTCATCGACAATCAAGACTCTGAGACAGTATGTTTTAGACACAGGTTTAAACTGACAAAGGTAAAACTGAAAGAAAATAAAAACACGTTTCTTCAGAAACACGGAGATACAAAATGAAGGTGAGTATTTACTAAGACCTTAAAAGTAGTTGTAGGTATGATAAGCTTGCAGAATAGAAGCATTTGAACATAAAAAATACTCATAGAAAGAAAAAGAATACAAAATATGCTGAGTAACAGTCAAGTTCCGAGAGGAAAGGTGGAGGTTCCGCACGTGGTGAGAAGGTAAACAAAGTTCGTTTGAGGAAGGAAATGATACTAAAAAATAATGCTTACATTAAATAATTCCATAATAGGAAGAAAGAAAGGCGATAGTTCTTACCGGAGATGTCCAAGAATGACGAGATATTTAAAGGATGAAAACTAAGCCATGCGGCCGTGCTGGGGGCAGCTAAACTAGATAGAGGCTGAGCACCAGGAACCTTCAACCGGTGTAGGGTCAGAAAGAAGCCCCCAAGCAAAAAGGGCCGGTAAAGGGAGATGAGTGCTAGTAGGTCTGTTGTACACAGAACAGAACAATATATATATATCTACTTTAAGACATATTTTTATGTTTATACGTTCTTTTTATAGATACAAACATTTAAGTAAAGTCTCTGTTTATAATAAACAGTATTAACAACATTTACTAGCCTGAATTTCCGAGAAATTTTCATACAAAATATGCGTCCTCCGACAGGAATAGAACCTGTAACCTATACGGAACCGTCATATAGCCTGACATGCCTTAACAGAGGAGCGTTCGGTTAGCAAGGCCGATTTTACTGTTTTTAAACACAGTTCTCTATGATTTTCTCTCATATATTCATATCTGCTCAATGCGAATCCAAATGTTAACAAATGACGTCACACATTATGAAAAGTCCGACAATTTTTTTAAAGACATTTTTTTATGTTTATATATATATATATATATATATATTAGTGTATGTAACATTGCTCATACTAAAGTGTGTTGATCTATGTACCTACTTGAGTAGAGACGGTGTTATGCTAACATTTTGATGTTGTTTATATTTCTCCATGGACGCTTTTTGATAATAACCGCACTTGGCAAAAAAAAAATAAAAAGAAAAAAAGAAAAAGGTCCGCAATATGGTGGGGCGCCGAAGTCCAAGGATTGGCACGGAAAATAACTCCCGCCTTACACGAGAAACGAACGCAGTAACGATCAACTCCTCCCCGCGTTCGACCCTCTTTTCGTTTCTTTTAACACGATGGCGATAAAAGGCATAACATGAAAGATGGCGCCTATAAATCTCGTCTGGCTTGTCGGAGGACATTGAGTTGGTATCGGAGAAAAGGTAATAATGTTTCGCTTGGAAGAGAAAGCGAAAAACAATGAAAAGGCAAAGAGATAGATAGATAGATAGATAGATAGAGAGAGAGAGAGAGAGAGAGAGAGAGAGCGAAAGATAAAAGGATATATAAAGTGAGCTTGAAGATGGAGTTAGAAAAAATGAACGAAAAATGAACGAAGGAGATAGACGAAAAGAAAGAAAGGGATAGACGAAAGAGAGAGAGAGAGAGAGAGAGAGAGAGAGAGAGAGAGAAAATGGAGGTAGTGATAATGTTTAAATTGAGTAAACGGTTGCATTCGGATAAAGAGACAATAGTCAATGAGAGAGAAGAGAAGAAAAAGAAAGAAAGAAAGAAAGAAAGAAAGAAAGAAATAGGACACTAAAAGAAAGAAAGAAAGAAAGAAATAGGACACTAAAAGAAAGAAAGAAAGAAAGAAAGAAAGAAAGAAAAGTGGGGATTTGAGAGAATGTTGATAGAAAGAATGAAACTGAAATGAAAACAAAGAGTATACATATACATATATATATATATATATATATATATATATATATATAGAGAGAGAGAGAGAGAGAGAGAGATAGAGTTAGGGAAAAGTAGAAAAAGAAAGAGAGATAGGAGGTTTAGAGTGAGAAGGAAAGTAGGAGGAGAGAGGAGGTGAGAAAGGGGGTGCTTTACCGATATATTCTTACTGAATGCTATACACATACAGACACAGACACACCTATACGTATATATTGAAAGAGCGAGAGAGAGAGAGAGAGAGAGTTAGGTGAGAGAATGAAAGAGTGATAAAAAGAAACAGAGAGAGAGAGAGTGTGAGAGAGAGAGAGAGAGAGAGAGAAAGGATGAATGATATGAAAATAAGAAAAGTAAGATATCTATCTATCTATCTATCTATCTATCTATCTTAGCTTATTCATATCTATGTGCCGTGACAAATTAACAGCGCGTGAGACATGGGAAGGTGATTGAAAGTTAATATTTAATGACAGAGAATGTTAACAAAAATAATAATAAAAAAAACACACGAAAAGATAAAATAAATGAAGCAATAAAAATAAATAAAAATTAGGCAAATATCAAAACAAGCGAATAAACTTGAAAAGTACGTGTTATCAAAATCCCGTCTTTTTTTTTTCTGTTTGTACAAAGGTGCAGTTTGAAATGGGTGTTGATTGTTGCTTTAGGATTCTTTGAAAGAATTACCTCGCTTTAATGAAATTAAAAGAAAAAGAAAGAAAAACTGAAGTAATGTATATTTGTTTGTATGTTGAAAGCCACAGAGGGAATCTAATTATATAGGAAAAGACTTCAACAAACCCTGGTAGAAGATAAATTTGAATACACCAACACAGCAGTACATGAACTACAATCCATAGGATCAGATAAGCAAATTGATTTTTCAGATTTTGTAACGGTACCATATTTATTTATTATAATAAAGAAGTTTCTGGGATTGACTGTGTTTGTTACTGTGACGCAGCAAAAATTGCACATCGTAGCAAGATTTTTGATAGAGCAATACCTTTGAACTGCACTTGACGAATAAATAATTTCTCAGATTAATCTGTGACTTAGTCAGGAGACTATTTTTCTTTTGTTTGCTCAGCCTTAGCATAAGGCTCAGATATTAATTCAACTTTTATTTACTTCGAGCGTTATTTTTTTGAAATGGCTATGAAACTGGTCAGATATGAGTTTACGAAAAAAAATGATCAAGGAAATGTACTTTACTTAATAGGGGATTAGAATCTTGGTGGACTGTTCTCTCTCTGTGGGCGAGTTGTCTAAAATAGGTCGGATCAAACGACGGTAGACGCATGTTCGAACATTTCCGGAGAGCAATTTTTTTTATTAAGATTACTTTAGCGCACAGGCCAACAGATTTAATACACACGGTGGAATGTGTATTAAATCTATTGAGGAATAGGAGAGCCGAGTTCGAATTCCAGCCAAATCCATTACATTCATTTACGTGCTAATACCCTTGGGAAAAATCCTCTTCTTCCCAACAGCTATGGGTAAATAGCAGAACAGACCGGGTTCTATAGCTTTGGATGGCAACTGGTTTACCGCAGAAAGGAGAAATCGGGAAAAAATCTGCTTCGTCAGTCATGTATCGAAATTGATCGTCTAAGCGTGTATCACCCATGGCACATAACTGAACTGTTTAAAATAAAATCTATTTCACGCTAGAAATAACGTTTGAAACAATAATAAAAATAATAATAATAATAATAGATCCTTAATACTTTGGAAATGTACAAAGTCTCCCCTGTGGTAGTAAATTTCCTTACGCACAGGATGGGAATGTGGAACAGCACACTATACCTAAATCACACCAGAGGCACTGCAATCTCCAACCGTCTGAATAGCCGACGTGGAATCTTTCAAGGTGACTCCCTCTCACCCCTTCTGTTTCTTTGTCCTTAAATCCCATGAACTAAACAACAGTAGCTCTGGTTAGAAACTAAACAAAAATGTATTCAATCACCTACTTTATATGAATGATCTAAAACCTGCCAAAGACGACAATGACTTGAAGGGCCTCCTCAATACTGTAAACTGTTTCAGTGACGACATAGGTATGCATTTCAGATTAGATAAATGTGCAAAAGTAACATTCAAGAAAGGGAGAATTATAGAAACATCCTCAATGGATTTAGACTTTGTCACAAACTTTACGGAACTGGAATAGGATGAAGCCTATAGGTACCTAGGAATTAGCGAAGGAGATGGTATACAACGTACCCAAATGAAGGAGAAGGTGAGAAAGGAGTATTACAGGCGTGTGCGTCTGGTACTAAATACCGAGATGAATTCAAAAAACAGAATATCAGCCATAAACACATTGGCTGTCCTGTGGTGCAATACAGTTTCAACATCTTTAACTGGACTATAGCTGACATTAAGCGAATGGACGCCAAAACGAGAAAGCTTCTCACCTGCCACCCCATGCATCATCCCAAAGCTAATGTTCGTCTGTATGTGTTCAGATCCAAAGGAGGCAGAGGATTAGTTCAACTAGAACTGTTCTATAAAACTACAATAATAAACCTTCAAAGATACTTGGAAACTACAGAAGACTGGATGATATGTATTAAAGAACATGAAAGTAGTAAGCGAATTTATTCCGTAATAAAGGAAGCCAACAAGTTCAGAATGGAGTGAAGTAAAGCACAATACACCGAATGAAGCTGCAAAAAGAAAGCAAAGGCAAATGCAATCGACCAGATACAGACACGATGGCAAGATAAACCGCTTCACGGTCAATACTCTGTCCGTACCAAACAAGCTGATGTACCGTTAAAAGCTAAAAAAGGTTTTATCCTTGTTGCATAGCACCAATGTTTGTTAACTAGGAATTATCAAGCACACATACTAAAATAATGTGTTAGTCCAAAATGCAGATTCCGTGATAAATATCCAGGAACAATTGATCATCTTGGATCATATTGCACGGTATTAGCATCCACTGAATATAAAAGCCGGCATGACAGAGTGGGCCAATATCTGCACTGACAAATGTGCAACTTCTTCAGGAAAGAAACTGAAAGAAATTGGTATGAACACCACCCAGACCCAGTTATGGAGATATGACCTGTTACAATTATATGCGACTGCACAATACAGAGAGACAGAACAATAAAAGCTAATCGGTCAGATATCGTTATTAGAAACCACAAACAAAAAATTTGTCCCCTTATTGATATGGCAGTCCCTGCAGACTGCACGGTATCTTTGAAGATCTTCAAAAAGATATCAAAATACAAGGACCTTGAAATGGAAATCTCAAAAATGTGGCAAATAGGAACATCAAAAATCCCTGTTGTAGTTGGAGCCCTCGGATTGATTGCAAAAATATACCAATCGAGTCATTGAAGGGATAGATAATAATCCGACAAAATGATAGAATAAAGAACAGGTAGGAAACAGATCTTAATCTAATGTGTCACTTCGACAGTCATCAAAATCTCTGACGAAGATTGAATAAAGTATGTTAGATTAAGATCTGTTTCCTACTTGTTCTTTATTTCATCATATCTATCTATCTATCTATCTATCTATCTATCTATCTATCTATCTATCTATCTATATATAACCGAATAAAATAAAGTACTAATAAAATACATGTTAAGGAAAAGAAAATAATGTGAAATTAAGTCAAATGAAATGGGAGCCGTATATTACTTTAATTTTATCACGGCATATTTTATTATTATTAATATCATTAGTTTTAGTTAGGTTAGTAATATTAATATTAATAATAGTATTAATTACTCTATTGATTTTCCAAAAAATATAGTTAGCCCCCCCCCATCCCTTGATTCTGTAATGTCTCTTCTCGTTTATCTATTTTTTTTTTTAACATCAGCGTCTACGTAAATTAGAAATTAAATTTCTTATTTGCAACCTCTTTTTCAAACTTAAATGCTAATCTGGACCTAAAATCAAATTCAAAATTTAATTACAATTTGTTTAAATATTTTAACAACAATAATAGTATCTCTCGAGAACCAGAATTTAAAAAAAAAACTGGTGTCAACTCAAAATAAAAATAAAAATTCCAGGACTTGACAATTGCTTCGGCATGAAACTCGCAGTTGTGCAATTAATATAAGGCATTATGTATATTTCTTAATATATATATATATATATATATATATATATATATATATATATATATATATTGAACAATAAAAAATATCTTTAGACACACTGGGTTGTATATTAATATTCCTTCGTTTTTGTTATTATTTCATTTAGATTCCTCGACAAGTTTCGGCCAAAATGGCCATCATCAGGAGAAAAATAATTTTCTGCTTGCTGGTAGCAGTGAACTACAGAAATGAATGTCTTGATGGAAAAAATAAACTTTTGTCTGTAGTTTTCATTTGTTTTCTTATTTTTTATTTTTTTAACATTTTTGGTCAGACTTTGTGTTGGTCAGACAGTCTCTTTTAAGTTGTTATTTGAGATAAGAGCTGGATGGGTTCATGCTGCTCAGAATTCCCTTGGTCAGTTTGACAGACTTACTGGTTCCTGGAAAGGGGATGTGTCTCTGTTAAGTGTGTGTGTGTTATTTGGTTCTTAGGGAGTGAGTGAGTATGATGTGTGTAAGCGTGTATGTTATTATGGGTGTGTGTTATCATTTGGCTCATTAGGGAGTGAGTGAGTATATATATATATATATATATATATATATATATATATATATATATATATATATAAAAGAAATGAAGATTTTATTAATTCAACTGACTTTTATTACTTAATTTTTTAGTGGATCCGCGTATTTGAGTAGATGTTGCGTTTATTTATCAAACAATATTTATTTTTGCCTGAATATTCATGAAATGTTATAAGAAAAATATGCGCTCTCCGGCATTATTGGAATCTGTATAGCCGAGATCTATGGCAGTTTTCCCTAGGGGAACGCAGATTCGAATCCTAAAAACCTAATAAAATTTTTCGAATATTCAGGCCGGTAGACATAAGAAATACTGCTTAATAACTAAACAGAGAGTCTACTCAAGTAATATAAATCTGCCGGATTAATATATAAAAAATCTATTCCTTTTTTTTTTTTTTTTTTTTTTAAATTGCTTTGTTTACGTTAGAACACGAAACTGAGCAGATATGTTTATTTCGAGAGTCGGAGAAAAATCTGTGTTCAAAGGTACTCTTCAGCCATGGACGCACTTCGTGGCCGAGAGGTCAAAGCATGTCAGATCTATCATGTTTTGACCTTGGGGAACGCAGGTTCGAATCCTACCGGAAATTGTTTGTTCATATAGTGAATCAGACAGCCATTAGTAGATATCGAAAACAGAAGTGTATTAAGGTCTTACTAGTGATATGACTTGTTCGTACATTACGTCAATGATTTTATCATGTCTAAATAAAGATGATGAATGCAGCAATACTTTTTTTATGCTATGAATTTATACGAACAATAGATTTTGGCGAAATAAAATGCTGGTAATATTTGCATCAATTTGATAGTTGCTTGGTGAGTGAAGTAGTTGTGTATTTCTTATTGGCGTTCGTAGTCGTTGTTCAAAACTAGATAAAAAAGGAGGATTTCAAACGCTGATTTTTAAAGTAGGTATTTTGCCACAATAGCATTTTCTTATCTCATCATTTGCTGGACTTAAATGTTTATAATAATATCTGGTTTTATAATTTCTAAGACGAATTGATGTATTCGTAATCGATCTCTTGTGTAATTATATAGTTTGGGGCCAAATGTTTTTTTTTTCTTCGGAAGCTCCTATCGTAAAACCAGCCGTATATAATGAAATAAACTACAGCCATGTAAAAATAAAATACCTCATACCGCGACGTATACACCTGAAGATACGATTCAGATTCTGCGCAGAATATGAGAAGCCGAGGGACTGGAAGTAACACCGTGGGTAGCATACGGTTAAAGTATTCGTTTATAATGGCGATGGTTTGATTGTTATAGAGTGAAAAAAAAAAAAAAAATCAACTAGATTTTAGAAATGTTGTACTCAGAGATCTATCAAGGCTCACCATTTTCTTCTCTCCTGAGGCCTATATGTACATTCAGAAAAAGGAAGCAATGCTTTGAACGCATAAAAAAAAAGTTGCAAAAGAAATAATTCCGTATACACTGGTTTTATCGTTTACAGACGAGTATTTCGTTAAGCCGGCATAAGCGTGTCTCTTTGCGCGCGTGTAGCCTTCAATATGCTTGTGTGTTGGGGATTTCTGTAGTCGCTCAAAAAGAAGCTGGTGTCTATGCACGACAAATGAAACAGGCCTAACAAATCGATAAAACCTTTTCGTTTCTTCAGCTCTCTATAGATGTTCAAATAAAGAGTTATCGTGCGATTTTTTTCTCTCTCTCTCTTCAATTGGTGTATTACACATAACAACATTAAAATAGAACTATTTCACACCAGCTTCTTTCTTTAGGAAATAAACTGAGTAATATAAAGGCTTTCAATCAGACACCATTTTCAATACAGCAGTTCCCTTCACTTACGAACGGGATGCGTTCCTGGGATTTGTTTGTAAGTTCCAAATGTTTGAAAGTATGTAATATTAAAGCTGTTAAAATCTAATTACTTTTTTCCTGACATTCATTTCTTTACTGGTTCTCATATTGCATATGGGTAAATAAAATAGATAAAATAAAAATAAAAGTAAAAGAAATTAAATGAAAATAAAATAAAATAGAATAAAAATAGATTCACACAAAACTTATTTAAGCTTTTTCCATTGACATAAAAAAATTATTTTACGCTATTTTTACCAAATACATGGCCCCAGAGCCACTCAAAGTAGATGTTTACTGAACGAAGTTGTTTTTAGAGCTAATAGGGGTTAAGAAGTGCAGATTATGGGAATATTCAGGACAGATAAAAGCTAACTTTAAACTTGAAGTGTAATGATCGGAGAAGCATCATCTTGGGATTTTGTTTCACAATGTAGTGATTTTTTGATTGTCTGAGTGGAATTTGCTTCGTATTAATGGAATACGGGGGAAATGAGTCTGATTCGACACTGTGAACGTGGTATGATGGGTCTTAGCTGCAAAGTTCTTGATGGAACTAAGAAACATGGAAATAGCTATAGGCTTGTGATGTGTCGTCTGTGAGAAAGAGGTTTTAGGATGGAAAGTCATTCATCACTTAGAAGAACGCGAAGCCGCTTTTGAGCTCTATCAAGACTGGAAAGTTAGCAGTGGCCAGATCCTGCTCATCTATGGCAGCAGTATTCAATTTTCGTCTTGATCTGACTCTTGTAGGGAGCTGTAAGGTTGAAAGTAATTAATCGCTCACAGAGCTACCTAAATGCTTTTGAACTCTGTCAAGGCTGTACAATGAGGATTTTGCAGCTTTAGCACAAATATAGCAACCGTACTCCATTCTCTGAGTGTTATGCGAAAAATTATTTCAACGCCAACAAAACCATTGTATTGTTTTCATAGACTTAAAAAAAAAAACCATTGAATGATTGTGAGAGAAAGTATTGTCGGCTATCATCAACAAATATAACATGAGTAATGAGGTGATCTGTACTGTTCATCAGTTGTATGATAAGGTAAGGAGATATACTAGGTATTCATAGGAAAGTAGTTTCACATATAAATTAGTGTATACAAGGCTGTCTTCTGTCTACTACACTTTTTAAGATTTTCCTTGAACGCATTACGAATGCCATTGAGGACTACCAAGGCATAATCAGCATCAGAGGTTGCAGACGACATAGATGGTCTAATTGGCAAAGAAAAAGAGCTTTTGTCAATCTGGTGAAGAATTTGAATGAACCAATTCTCCAGACACGGCATGGAGATTAACACCGCAAGACAAACTCATTATAAACAACCAGAAAAGACTGTAGGGTAAAAGATAAAAGTTGGTGGCCAGGAACTTAGTAGTCGTGAGTCAATTAAAATACGATGGAACCTCAGTTCACAAATTTAATTCGTTCTTGAAGACTGTTCGTAACCCGAAATGTACGTAAACCGAAACTATTTTTTCCAATAGGAATCAATGTAGAGAAAAAAGTCACAGTACAATAAAATTGGAAAATAAAAACCACGGCATAACACACGGCAGTCGACTCAGAAATAATTCCATTCATGTTAACTCGGTTTGGCAATATTGTTCAAGAACCAAAATTTTGTTCGATAACCGGGGCATTTTCGTATCGAATTTTCTTTTCAAAAACCGATTTGTTTGACATGTGAGACGTTCAAAAACCGAGGTTGCATTGTATTGGCAAACATGGATCTACATTTGGTTTGCTTTGGTTTGTTTGTTTAACGGCACATCAACATCTTATGAGTCATTTCATGCCGAAACTTAATTTTCTTGGGAGCTTTGGTAATTGTTTTATAAATGCATTGGTGGTAATATTTTTTATATTTTCATAGTGTTTTTATCCTGATTTGGATGATTACTATTTGCCCATAGCTGAGACACTAACAGTTGCTAGCACCCCCGGGTCAGGGTGGACCCGGGTCCATCAGCAATTAAGAGGTGGTTCCACGCTCCTGTAACTTAGTGCTCACCAAAAAACAAGAACAACAAAAAAAAAAAAAAAAACGTTGTGTCAAAAGGACGGTTTTTCCCTTGACATTTATTTTAGCTTCACTCTTCGGCAATTTTTATTGTTTTAAAAAAAGGTGATTAGAATTATAATAAAGCTGAAAACTCTAACACTTTCGCCTCGGCCCCTCGACTTCCGTCGTCTTACTCTCGGGATTGAGGTGTCTACTCAGTTCTAACCGAACTTAAGGGAGTGGCCATAGGTCCCCTGAGCATCCGTAGATTATTCGACCAGTCCGCTGCTTCAATCCTGCTTCCTGCCCACGTTGTGATTTTTTGATCCAGAAAGCAGAAGTGATGTCCGTCCACTCAAGGTCGACTGAAGATGTAGACACGACTGAGGAATCTGTGCTAAGAAATTTAGATTGCAGCAAAAAAAAAAAAAAAAAATTATTATTTGCAGAAAGCCGGACAAACATTGATTCAATGGTTGGATTGGTAATGTCTTTTATATAGCAGAAGAGAAACGGGTTACAGAAAAGAAAAGTAAAAAAAAAAACTCATACACTGGATTCTAGACACAGAGAGTGTAGGTGATTATCTTGTTGTTAAATCATCTCAGAACGATATATGACTCTTGCGATGGAGGGATAAAGATTTCTGTGCGGGGCTTAAAGTTATAGTGGCGTTCCTCCTCCCAACGCTCGTCCGGGCCAATTCTCTCTTCAAGAATTTTCTCCCGTCTGTCTTCCTCAGCACAACCACGCGTTTATATAGACAAACCCGACTAGCTACAACTGACCCTCGGCCTTACTACTTCGCGCGCGATTATCACGGGGTTCTGGCTGCTTCAACCAAAATCATGTGAATTCCAAAGTTCCTTCTAGCTTACTCAGCTCTATTTCAATTTTTAATCGTTAAAAATTATTTCTACCAATTCTATTGTCTCCTGAGGACCCAGATTCAATGGGTACAACTTCTGCACTAGGTCAGATTTCCACATCCGTAAACAAAATGCTCTGATTTAATTTCGCTATTAAAATCTACTCCAATTTCACTAAAAATTTTTTTTAAAAATACGTGTGTGTGTGTTTCCTAGACTCTCTCTCTGTCACAAAATATGAAAGGGAATTTATATATTTCTTTGTTCTTGAGAATTGACAAAGAAACATTATTTATTATATTGTTTATTTACGCTATTTATTTATATGTATGTACCTCCATTTGCTCACTGAAAAAACAGCATAGCATGATGAAAAAAGACCCCAAGCTTAATAAAAACAAGGTTTTATTGTCAAAATGTTTCTTTTTATTAAGAGGAAAGATTAAAGTATATTTTTTAGAAAAAATTAATCCTTTCTAACACGCTCGAAATTTTAGTTAAAAATCTATTTTTTTTTTTTCGTCAGCGATTGACATTTAGTGTTTTTGCACTTTTTTCTCCGGTGAAAAAAACAACATTGATTTGGGAATTCTTGAAAAAATCCAATAATCGTCGGATTTTACTGAAACTTTCAGGAATTATTCACAAATGAATTAAATTATTTTTTAATCTTTTTCCTCCTAGAAAATTTAGGTATTTTTTTTATATATGTTACTCCCCACCCCCACTTACATAATTTGATGAAATTTCGAGAAGTTAAATTTTATCTCCAAAAACTTTTTATTAGCTAAAAGTAGAACTCCTTGGAGAATATAAACCCTCCATATTTTATCAAACTACTGCTGTTTTTCCGAAAATCTTCTCCGAATGGTAAACTATAAAAATGCAATAAAACTATGACATTATTTAATTAGAAAAGCTTTTAATTGCCTTTATAATAAGATATATTAAGTACATTATTGTCTTAAGAAAAAAAAATCGATGAATAATGAATTTTTACAAGAATTGCTTTCATTTTTTTAAATTTTTATTATAATTTATCATAATTCAAAAATCGTTTAAAATTCTGCATTAATTCGTTTCTTTTAGATGGTATTGTAATTAAGTACAAACTATATTTACGAATCAAAAAGTCGCTGTGCATAAAGATTTTTAAAATAATTAAATTTTTTTTTGTTTTGGTTTAAACATTCCCCTTTTTGCATGCATAGTAGTCTATACATGACATTATTATTAAAAGGTCACATGTTCTAAGAGTTGTCTTTCCTTTCTTGTCTGCAATTCGTTATGCGTTGCATGTCTACGTCTCAACAGGCTTTGCACATCATCAATTCAAATTTTTAAAATTTTAAATTAATTAATAATAAATAAAATACCATAACGATTCATAAAATATTGAGTTAACTCTATCATGGTATTTCATTAATATCTCAGTTATTAAATTTTTAAATTGATTTAAGAAAATGTGATGGTATTTTAAATTTTATTACTTTTTCTTAAAGCATCTTCAAACTATGGTAACTAAAAGTCAAAAAATATTAGATAATTGCTGAAAATATTATGTTAATTTGTAAAAATTATTAGGTACTTAAAAACAAAAAAAAAATGAGTTCATTTAGATTTCGTAAATTTATGTACATTCTGGTCATCCATACTTAGCTGTCAACATCTTAGCCCGTCGATAACGTCAATCAACACCTCAGAAAAACAGGAACCGTAGTTAAGAAATGCTTGTATACTACGTTTTTTTATGCTAAAAGTAAGTAATATTTCTTTCAAATAATATTAATTTAACTTTGAATTTGCTAATGTTCCTCAAATAACGTGTCACAAATATATATTTTATTTTTGGAACATTTTTAAAACTGGTAATTAAACTTTTTTTACAAAAATGTGCCGTGTCCCTTCAGGATGTTGGCAACATGGCTCTGTACAATTTCCCGTCATTCATTTTGTCTTTTTTTTAATCTCTCCTAAATCCTGTTCTGCCATTCATTTACTCCAGTTCCCCAGGTAGGTTATACATTGTTTTCCTCTGTCTCTTTTGTCTTCAATCTGTCCTGTGAGTATCAAATTTTCCAAGCCATCTTTCCTCATTATATGCCCTAGAAATTTCAACTGTCTCTGATGCTAAGTATAAGTGTCCTTTTCGTTTCATTTTCTCTAAAACTTCGTCGTTGCTCACATATTTGGTCCATGGTACTCTCAACATCCTTCTGTAGAATCAAATTTCTCTTGTTTCAAGTTTCTTCTTCATCTGGGAGGAGATTGTCCAACATTAGAAGAAAAGGTAGACAGGGAGAAAATTCAATGACATCTTCACTGAGTGAATTGGAAGATCATTTACAGGGTCTCGGATATTGGCACTTAACGGAGATACATAGTGGGAACTGCTCATATTCTCAGCTGTTCACTGACCTTACGACCACACCCAGTTATGGGACTGAGGATGTTGATGACAAGAAAGAAATTCTGATTGAAATAAGAAAAGTGACATATTTAGATCTTGTTTTTCTCTGGAGGAACATTAAACGAAATGGAAGCAAGCAGGCTCAAGATTTCTTGTAGCATCGTGTCTTCAGCTCCACTGAATTCTTTATTGGTTTACTTTTTGAAAAAACAGACGAGCTGCCTGCTTTCTTAGAATGTTATAATAACGATAAAATCGAAGCCAATCGATCAAATATGTCGCCTTCCATCTTGATCTTTGACGTTAGATGACGTTAAGAAAGTCATTTCTTCGGAAAGTTCAAAAGCGTCGACCGATACACGCCCGAAGCTCTCATATCTCAACTCATTGTTTTCAATATCACAAAAGCTTGTTTAAGATTAGAAGATGTTACTTTTAACATCAATCCCTCTTCTTTCATAAAAGTAAAAACAAACGAGAAAATAAGAGGCTGGTTATTTAAATTCAAAATCCATTTGAAACACGGATTTTAAAATTTTGGACACAAATTCACAAGAGGTTCATTTGCAAATTGATATCACGGATTGCAAACTTTTCTTTCGTTTTGAGTTTTTCCTGACAATTTAATTCGGTCTCCGTTTATATCTTTTCTTTTTCTTTTTCAGCATTCTTTCTTTTATTCTCCTTTATTGTCTTTTTCTCTGACACTATTTTCTTTGACTTTCCTTTCTTTTGCATTCCACTTTTTTCCCTCTTTTTTTTTTGCTTTTCTTTTTTCTTTCTTTTTACAGTATAGTCTTTTCTTTTCTAATTTATTTTCTCTCTTTCTTTTTTTGCCATTTCTTTCTTTCTTTATATTCACATCACTTCTTTCTTATTTCTTTATATTCACATCACTTCTTTCTTTCGTTCTTTCTTTATATTCACATCACTTCTTTCTTTCTTTCTTTCTTTATATTCACATCACTTCTTTCTTTCTTTCTTTCTTTCTTTCTTTCTTTATATTCACATCACTTCTTTCTTTCTTTCTTTCTTTATATTCACATCACTTCTTTCTTTCTTTCTTTCTTTCTTTATATTCACATCACTTCTTTTCTTTCTTTTCTTTTCTTTCTTTCTTTATATTCACATCACTTCTTTTTTTTTCTTTCTTTCTTTCTTTCTTTATATTCACATCACTTCTTTCTTTCTTTCTTTCTTTCTTTCTTTCTTTATATTCACATCACTTCTTTCTTTCTTTCTTTCTTTATATTCACATCACTTCTTTCTTTCTTTCTTTCTTTCTTTCTTTATATTCACATCACTTCTTTCTTTATTTCTTTCTTTCTTTCTTTATATTCACATCACTTCTTTCTTTCTTTCTTTCTTTCTTTATATTCACATCACTTCTTTCTTTCTTTCTTTCTTTATATTCACATCACTTCTTTCTTTCTTTCTTTCTTTCTTTCTTTCTTTATATTCACATCACTTCTTTCTTTCTTTCTTTCTTTATATTCACATCACTTCTTTCTTTCTTTCTTTCTTTATATTCACATCACTTCTTTCTTTCTTTCTTTATATTCACATCACTTCTTTCTTTCTTTCTTTCTTTCTTTATATTCACATCACTTCTTTCTTTCTTTCTTTCTTTCTTTATATTCACATCACTTCTTTCTTTCTTTCTTTTCTTTCTTTCTTTTTTATATTCATCAATTCTTTCTTTTTTTTCTTTCTTTATATTCACATCACTTCTTTCTTTCTTTCTTTATATTCACATCACTTCTTTCTTTCTTTCTTTCTTTCTTTATATTCACATCACTTTTTTTTCTTTCTTTCTTTTCTTTCTTTATATTCACATCACTTTTTCTTTCTTTTCTTTCTTTCTTTTCTATTCACATCACTTCTTTTCTTTCTTTTCTTTCTTTATATTCACATCACTTCTTTCCTTCTTTCTTTCTTTCTTTCTTTCTTTCTTTCTTTCTTTGCCCTTTCTTTCTTTCTTTTTACAGCACACACTTTTCTTCACTCTCTCATTCTTCTTTCTTACTTTTTTATTTTCTTTCTTTTTACAGTATAAACTTTTCTTTTCTCACTAATTTACTCTTCGTTTTTATCGCTTTCTTTCTTTGCACTCTCTTTCTCTCTTTCTTTCTTTCATTCTTTCTTTATTTCTTTGCCCTTACATTCTTTCCTTTTACAGCATACTCTTTTCTTCTCTCTCTCATTTACTTTATTCTTTCTTTCTTTTTCTTTCTTTCTTTTTACATTACACTCTTTTCTTTTCTCTCTCATTTACCCCCTTCCTTCATTCTTTTCTTTCTTTCTTTCTTTCTTTTTACAGTACACTCTTTTCTTTTCTCTCTTGTTTGTTTGTTTCTTTCTTTTTTTCTTTTATTTACTCCCTTTCTTCCTTTCTTTCTTTCTTTCTTTCTTTCTTTCTTTCTTTCTTTCTTTCTTTCTTTCTTTCTACTCACTCTTTCTTTTACTCCCCTTCCTTCTTTCTTTCTATATGCACATAGAGAATCTTTAATCAAAACCTTTTCTTTCAGTAGACCATTCCTGAGAAGAAAGCAAAAGTAGAAAAATTTACCCATCTCGGCGTCTCTCCGTTCGCCAAGGGCGGATAAATCCTGTTCAACCGAGATATGAACCGGCAGAGATTAAAATGAAGACGACTCCATCGTGGAAGTAGCGGTAATGGTTGAAGAGCTGTAATGATGACAAAGATTTCGTGGAACGTAAGTGGAGAAGGAGGGAGAACGCGTGTATCCAAATAACCCTAACAAGTAAATTGCTTTTGCCCAATACGCCGGAATTAGATGGGCTTTATTACAGCGTATATCCAATTACTTCAAGATGGTCGCAAATAAACGGGAGACAAAACAACATGGACGTCCGGATTCGCCAAGACTTAACCAGTTGAAATTAATGTGCTCTCTTACGTACAATACCTAAAATGCGTGTCCATAATATCCATATATATATATATATATATATATATATATATATATATATATATATATAGACGCGAACAAGGATAGGAGGGTATGTATAGGAGGTGTAAATGCGTTCTGATATTTCTGTATGTACATATATATATATATATATATATATATATATATATATATATATAGGAATATCAGTAAGTCCATTGCCTTATAATGCGAAAGGCAATTATTTCACGCAAGCTCCTGCCTTGTCAATGCACTTAATTCAGTGGTAAATATTAATCACCTAGACCGAACCCGAACAATGAAATGTTGACATCAAATTTTTTCTACTAATCTTCGAGTGAGGCTACAAACTTATTGTTTAAATCTTGTCTATATGTTTGCACACTCTGCACACCCACATACATACATATACTTATATAGATATACACACATACACATACAAACGCGCACACACAGGCACATGCACATTGTTATATGTGTATACATGCGCACGTGTGTATATCTATATACGTGTTTGCATGTATGTATGTGTGTGCATAAACGTATGTATATGCGTTTATATATATATATATATATATATATATATATATATATATATATATATATATATATATATATGCACACACACATTCACACACAAAACATATATATATGTATATATATATATATATATATATATATATACAGAATTGTATGTGTATATATATATATATATATATATATATATATATATATATATATATATTATAGGAAGAGGTTATAGTAGTTCCAACGAGAGAAAAGTGTGTATATTAAAAGAAGAGAGAAACCATAAAGTTTTTGGTTGTAATGTGGATTTTAAAAAATATTATGTTTTATTTTCCATTTTTAATATATATATATATATATATATATATATATATATATATATATATATATATATGTTTTGAACAATAAAAGGACAGCTTCGTAACCATTGAGAAATGTCTTGAAAATAACAGTTTTGTAGCCGTTGAACGGTTATCCTGCTGGGGTGGATATCTGGCTGGAACTGGAAGCCTGCTGCAGATGTCTGTCTGGCTGGAACTGCTGTTGATCGCTGGAGCCGTGGAACAGATACTACACTTTGAAAATTACCTTAGTCCTTTTCTCGGCGCATGATACTCTGTGTCGATTTTTGAAGCCTTTTTATATCCTGAATCAGTTTTACAACAATAACTGCTCATGGAAGTTGAAGTTACTTGTTCCGATTGTTTTTTTTAAATTATGGGAGTGCCGACAAGATACGACAAGGTCTAAAGTTTAAATGCTCGACTTCTTACTCATAAAACAGCGGAACTGGATGATAATATGGATTCTCTATGGAACTATAATGCATACTAATTCAGACAATTATTCCGTTTGTACACAGAATAAAAAAATAAATAAAATAAAATAAACTTTAAATAAATGGATGAAAGCTCGAAATCAGATTTGTTTTTTTAACAAAATGGGACGTGTTTTTAACAAATGACGGAAAACGTGACACTGAAATAGGAAGACACACTGGAGTAGCGAAAAGTACCTTCCAAAAGCTAAACAATGTATTAAGAAACAGGAAAATATTGTTAAAATTAAAGAAAAGAAAACTGAACTACAGTAAAATATCAATTCTTCTATATATATATACTTGATAATTTCCTCATAGATGAAGGATTCTCAGAGGGTGGGAGTAACCATGACGATTTAAGGATAATGGAAACAAAATGGTTACTTACAAATAGAATTAAAAAAAAAACAGTTGAAATTACTGGAACACAAAATGATTAAAGTGAGCTTAGAGAATCTGATACTCATAAGGCCGAGTGAAAGGAAAAGAGACAGAGGGAAACGACTAGTAACCTACCTAACAAGCTTGTATATACGAATAGCAAAACAGAGAACGAGAGGGATAACAAACATGCATTGTTAAAAGTTACAAAGACATGAAGTTGTGGAGAGCCATGAGCGGTCACACCCTGAAGAGACACGAAGCATAGAAGAAGAGAGTATTTCTGATGCAAATACTGAAGATAGATCTTAATATACCGCAAATAAAAAGAAAGCGCTAGGTATTTTCTTATATAGAGACCAATAAAAACTAATCATCAGTATTATTTATATGGACCATCAATGAGATTAAACAAAGCTGATACCAAAATACGAAATGTTTTCACAAGTCAACGCAATCAGAACTCAAAATCAAACATTGACCCATTGTACCTTCCAAGAAGAGAATATAGCTGGGGGTTAATTTAACTGCAACTATCACTGAAATATGCAGCTATGGGTCTTTTTGGTTACTTTCAGCAGACTAACGACTGCTTGTTAAGACTGGTTCTTCAGAACAAGTCATAAGATGCAGTCGCTTGTTTACGAAAGTTCAAAATACACTTCACCCAGTAACAAAAGACTCTGTAAGACTTTGGGAAATAACAATTAAACGACACGGACTAAGAAGAAAAGATTGAAAAGAAAAGGGAGACAAGAAATATCTGCACAGCGGCTTCCCATCTACAGCCAGTGATCCTATTGTGACCAAAGAAATGGTTAAGTAATAATATGTGAATTTTATAAAATCATAAATCCTGGATAATTCATAGATCTTGCGTAGATTTCTCTGCATGCAGACACCACAACCTTGGTTTCATCTGTTTGCATCTTCACTTGTTTTCTCTTGAAGTCTCTTATGTTACACCAATTATGGCTCTCGTGGCTTATGGCTCTCATGGCTTAGGATATCAGCTGATATCTCGTTCGGTACCAGTCTCAGTTGCCTGATCTTAACAGATTGGCCATGTGTCCTTGAGGTTGACACACTGGGCACATCTCCGTTCCTCAGCGAGATTAAACTAGGGTAGCTTTAGGAGCGTTGTGACGAAAGAATTTGTTTTCTTTTTTTTATATAAAGGAACTAAAAATTAAAGAGGAAACACCGTTACATGAATAACATATAAAGAGATCAAGAGAAACAAAGAAATAAATTGCAAACTCTGTATAAATACAAAAACCTCAAGATAGAAATCAGTAGAATGTAGCAACGCAAGACAACAACATCATCCGTTGTTATTGGGGCTTTGTGGATGATCTCAATAGAAGCAACCCCATATATATATATATATATATATATATATATATATATATATATATATATATATATATATGGCCTAATGGCTACAGAATTAATAATTATCGCTATCGAATTAAGTCGACTCCCATGAAAAATTATTACCTGTAGAACATTTCCGCCTGGAAAAACACGATTTCAAAACCCATGCCAAATTCACTAGAAATTGAGAGAATAGAAAAGTTCAGAGCAGATAACATTAGAGTTTCATGAAAATAAGTGGATACAACGTCTAAAACACACACTATCCAGCCGGGCTAAACCATTAACTTAACAATATAGTTAGTACTAATATATAACTCAACAAATCAAAACCTACCCACATTTCTCACCCACACAAGACAGACATGCTTACGGAGGTGTTGAGGCCTCACACTTATACACACACCCACACGAATATACACACTTACACACATCATACTCACTCACTCCCTAATGAGCCAAATGATAACACACACCGACAGCAATACACACGCTTACACATATCATACTCACTCACTCCTTAAGAACCAAATAACACACACACAAACACTAAACAGAGACGCATCCCCTCTCCAGGACCAATAAAACTGTGAAACTGACCATGGGAATTCAGAGAAGCATAGATCCATCCAGCTCTTATCTCAAATAACAACTTAAAAGAGACTGTTTGACCAACACAAGGAATGTTAAAAGATTCATGTTAAAAAGATAAAAAAATAATAAAACAAATGAAAACTAAAGACAAAAGTTCATTTTCTCCATTAAGACATTCAAATATTTCTTCTCCTGATGATGGCCATTTTAGCCGAAACTAGTCGAGGAATCTAAATGAAATAATAATTAAAAAAAAATGAAAGAATATTAATCTACAATCTAGTGTGTCTGAAGATTTCAATTTTTAATATTTTTTTATTGTTCAATATATATATATATATATATATATATATATATATATATATATATATATATATATATATATTTCTGGTCGCCCTAAAATATATGAATTGCATCAAATCATACCCACGTTTAATTCTCAGATCTTGTGTAGATTTCTTTGCATGCAGACGCCACAATTACCATAGATTTCTCTTTTTGACTGCATGGAATCTCATCCGTTTGGTTTGTGTCTTGAAGTCCCTGGTTTAGACTTGCAGACACTTCGTACTACACAAAGCAAGGGTGAAACACAACAACAATAATAATAATAATAATAACAATTTACTCTATTTACATTGTTCGGACTGTTGTCCTCATCTCTATTGTCATATTCACGACGTTTCGGCCGTTGTACGCTCCGGCCTTCTTCAGGTGATATATGTTGGAATTTCGTCCACCGGTGTAGATTGTTCTAGTTCCACGTGCCACGCATTTTTGGATATCTCAGTTTCAGTTGAGTTAATTCTCTTTAGTAACTCAACTCCCCAAGTTTTTGTTGTGGCCTCAAAACTCTTTTTGGTCACTGGATCAAATCAACCAACGTATTTATCCCCTGGGCAATGTGAATATGATCACAAAGAGGA